GAGACAGAGGGTGAGACAGAGGGTGAGACAGAGGGTGAGGCTCCGACAGCCGTACTAACACAAACACCACAGGGTTTTTGGTTGAGTTGCATCTCTGTTGTCATGGTAACAGCCGAGCGGTTGTACAGTGTGAGGTCAGATGACTTCAGTGGTCAGTTTGTCACAGTATGAAGACCAGACACTGATGATGTCACTGTCACATGACTTCCTTTGTCCAACAGGAGTGTGTCTGTCTTCTAACTCAGCTCCGTGTCACTCGTTCGTTCATCATCCACCACTTTGTCCTTTTTAGGATCAGTGAGGAGCTGGAGTCAATGCCAGCAGCCTTCAGCAGGGGGCGCTAACACCTGTGTGGAGACAAACAACCATTCACACTGACATTCACACCTGCAGTGTAGTGTGAACAACTCACCTGATCCTGAATCTGCATGTGAAACCAGAAGACCAGCGCTAACAACAGGGATTGAACCAGCGACCTTCATACCGTAAGGCAAGAGCACTAACCGCCCCTGCACCGTGTGACCTCCTCTGTTCTTCACTACAGTCAAGAGTCACAGCCAAACGGAGGAGGTCAGTTTGGAGCTGGAACTCCTGCTGCCACGGTCCCCCCCCCCGTCTGTCAGAGTGTGTGTGTGTGTGAGAGAGAGAGAGAGAGAGAGAGTTTCCTCAATGAATGACACTCAGCCTAAAAAGCTCCTCACATCACAATGAGCCTGGATTTCCCTCGTCTTCATAATTGACCCCCAGAGGGAGTGGGTGGCTCTAAACACCTGTCTGTGTCAATGTCTCTCTCTCTCTCTCCCTCTCTCCCTCCTCACCCCCGTCCCTCCCTCCCCCTCAGTAAAAAGACAGATGGACCACAGCTTCTTTTATTCTTCAGAGTCTGCTGCACGTGTCCAGAACACGCTGGGCCTCACCAGCCTTTTATTTATGGTCGCCTCCTCCTCCTCCTCCTCCTCCTCCTCCTCCTCCTCCTGCTCCTCCTAACCCTGGTCCTCAACACCGTCTTCCTCCTCCTCCTCCTCCTCCCTCTGTCCACTTTTCTCCTCCCTTCACTCCTCACTTTTCCTCAATTTCTGTCAAATGTAGTTACACCTTTTATTTTAGTTTTTTTTCTCCAGTTCCTCCTCCTCTCCTGGTTCTTCTCCTGGTTCTGCTCCTGGTTCCTGTGTCGGTTCTTCTCCTGGTTCTTCTCCTGGTTCCTCTCCTGGTTCTTCTCCTGGTTCTGCTCCTGGTTCCTGTGTCGGTTCTTCTCCTGGTTCTTCTCCTGGTTCCTCTCCTGGTTCTTCTCCTGGTTCCTGTGTCGGTTCTTCTCCTGGTTCTTCTCCTGGTTCCTGCGTCGGTTCTTCTCCTGGTTCCTGTGTCGGTTCCTCTCCTGGTTCTTCTCCTGGTTCCTGTGTCGGTTCCTCTCCTGGTTCTTCTCCTGGTTCCTCTCCTGGTTCTTCTCCTGGTTCTTCTCCTGGTTCCTGTGTCGGTTCCTCTCCTGGTTCTTCTCCTGGTTCCTCTGTTCCACTCCGTCTTCTTTCAGCAGATCTCTGTCGTTTCTTTTCAGATGCAGTGGTCTTTCTGTTCGGTGAATGTTTTTTTTTTTGTGTGTGTGTCTCACTGTGTTTATGTTTCAACATCAGACCAAATATATGTCCAAATATATGTCCAAATATATGTCCAAATATATGTCCAGGTGAAAAAGAACAAGGAGGAGGAGGAGGAGGAGGAGAGACAGTGGGGTCAGAAGGAGGAGAAACCAGGGTGGAAAAAATGAGGAGGAGAAACAGAGGGAGGGAGTAGAAGAAAAATGTAGATGGAAAAAAAAACACACAGGAGACAAAAATATAAAAAATAAATAAATATTTGAAGGGATTTAAGGAACTAGAAATAAAGATGAAGTGGATGTAGGTGTGTGTGTGTGTGTGAGGTGGATTATTTAGTGCTTAGTCTCTAACTGTTATTGACGCCGCGCCTGTTTATTCTGGATTAAGGAGGAAATAATGATGTGGCGGAGGTGGAGACGGTGTTGTTCGGCCGCGGAGGAAAATCGATCAACACTCAGTTAATTGTCGGAAATCAATTAAGAGAGAGAGAGAGTGACAGATCTGTCTCTCTCTCCCTCCACGATCTGACGTCACATGTTTCTCCACAATAAAAACGCAGTTGTTGAAATTTTTTTTTAAATCTCCACAAAAGGAGGAGTTTGTTTTAATCAATTATTCATTTAATAATCAGTTTAATAATCTTAATTTTTTTCATCTTTTATGGACAAAATAATTCAGGTTTTTACAGGTCCAGGTCTCTGTATCAGAACCTTCACAGACCAGATTTCAGGTCCAGGGTTTTTGGGTTTGGTTTTCTATAGAACCGATGACGTCAGTCCTCGTCACACACTGATCCACAGTAGGACGGAGCAGCCTCTTCCTCCTCCTTCACCTCCTCCTCCTCCTCGGCCGCTCGGGGTAAAAGTAGAAAATGTGGCTAAAAAGGAAATGGAGTGAATTTAATCTGATTCTGGATCAAATTCTCATCTTTTTTCATTTTCTCATCGACTTTTCTTTTTTTCAGACCCGGGTTTTGGTCACAGCAGGAGGTTCACACACACACACACACACACACCTTATCTGAACCATTGATTTCCACCTTAACACGCCGATCATAATCCCGGATTAACCAATAGTCCGGGCAGTGATCAGAGCCCAGACGGGATTACGTCCCGAGTCAATCCCTGAGATTAAATTATATTCTTAAACTCTCACCTGTTGTTTTATATTCGACAGTGAAAGGTCAACCAAACTCGTTTAATTACGTCACACACCACGTCATTAACCAGAATTATCTGCGGGCTTTTCGGTTCGTGACATCAGTGTAAAAATGTAAAAATATTTTTTAATTACAGCAAATATTTGTGAAGTTGTGACGTAAATGTTACAGATAAAACCGATATAATTTTCGTCATTTAATAGAAACGAGACTAAAATGTTTAGTTTTTAAAATATTTTTTCTTCATGTGTAAAATTAGTCATTTTTGAATAAATTGCCTTTTTTTCGTTTCGATATTTTAAATATTTCACATATGTAACAAATTTGAAGCCGTTTTCAGCCGCGTTTTAGTCCAAATGTTAGAAATTCAAATGGATTTTATTTGATTATATGCAAATCAACTATAGTGGAGTAAATGTGACGTATTTATTTACACACGATTAAAGTCTGACGCCGTGGTTTAAAATGTATGATATTATGAGTTTATTATTTTGGATTTCCCGGAGAAGTTTCGGTTTTTGTTTTTATTTTCATTTATGCGTGGATGTAAATGGGCCGCGGTTTGAGCCGCGGTGAACGAACCGTCGGGTGTTCGATGATCTGTGGGTCAGAACGGTTGGAAATACAGAGAAAACTGTGTTTTAACGAAGAGACTAAAATGGAGGAAAACGAAATTGAATTAATGCGAACGAATGATCCAGAAAAACCAAAACCAAAACTCCTGAAACAGGTTTAAAACACACGGTGTTATCTGCTGCGGCAGAAAAATGTTGACAAATGTATTTTAGTCAGAAATAAATGACATTTAAATAAAGTTCCTCCAGAGTCGAGGACATGGAAAATAAATCTCAGGAATCTTCATTTGGCATCGATCGATTTTTCCGTCAGACCGTAAAATCGCCACGGTTTGATTTTCATTAGAATTGATGAATAATATTAACAACAATAACGACGCGTTCACGTCCGCGGGCGAACAATCAATGACGTCACAGGGTGAGTTTAAGGAGTTTAACTTTAACATTTTCAAACCTTCTGTTCATAAAACGGACGACGTTTTATAAACATTTCAAACCTTTATTTTTTTTTAAGTTTTCTTTAGTTTATTTGTCTTTAAATCCACCTTTTGTTGTTGTTCATTTTGTGTTATTTTATTACATTCTCTTATTGCCTTTTTCATCATTTCTCCGAGCCTTCTGTCAGAGTCTGACCCCGCCTCCCCGATGACCCGGGGGTCAAAGGTGAGCCGGCCATTACTGCACTTCATCAACAACAACACGAGGAGCAGCAGGAGGAGCGAAATGAGGAGGAGGAGCAGCGGGGCTGGGTTTTTAATTTCAGGTGAGGCGTTTGTGACAAAAACATTTTATTTCGAAAGAAAGAAATATTAAAGATTAAAAATTTTAACAATTCTCCTCAGATTTAAGATGAATCCTGGGTCGGTTGGTGAAGTTGGTCAAAGTTGGCCATGCTAGGCTAAGAGCTAAAACACAGGAACGCTACGTTTAGATGAGTCAAAGTTGGGATGACTCCACATAATAAATATCAGTAATAATTAGCCTATTAGCTAACAGTTAGCTTAAAGAGCTACTTCTAGTTTAGGAACAGTTAAATGTCTGCAAAAAAAAAAAGTAAAACGAAGCTAAAATGGAGAAGCTAACGTTAGCAAAACCTGCAGCAGACGTGACTGGGAATTTCACAGAGAACAACTGGTTAACGTTAGTTAAAATTAGTTAAGGTAAGGAGTAAAGTAAAAATAAATGTAAACTCAAATCCGTTACAGCTTCAGAAGAAAAAAAAATATATTTCAGATGAAATATATTTGATAAAAAAACAAACATTAAAGACAAAAAAATATGGTAAAAAAAATCATTAAAAAAGATGGAAATGTAAAAAAATTGGACTTGGCAGAAAAATAACATGTACCCCCCCACCACCCCCCCGGCCCCACACACACACACCCTGTTTACTGTGTCCCCCCCTTACTCTCTCTCTCTCTTACTCTGTCTCTCTCTGTCTCTCTGTGTCTCTGATCTAAAATGGCCTCCAGCTCAGCTCTGATTTATGATCCTGCTGATGATTAAACACCATCACACACACACACACACACACTGCTGTAGTCTCAGCTTGTATCGACGTGTGTGTGTGTGAAGCTCAGACTTGTCCAGGTGTCTTAGCGCAGTCCTCTGGACAAACAGTGGAAATGAAACAGCGGAGGTCAGAGGAGGAAACACCAGCGCCCCCTCCCTCTGATTGATTTCCAATAATCAGGTCACGGAGCGTCTGATCCTCGGGATCCAGGTGGTCGAGCCGCGGCCCGACCGCCGCCGCGGCTCTGAGGATGATAGCAGCTAATGAGATATTAACCTGTGAATCAGGGAGGAAACAGGAAGTGATGTGGCTTTAAAGACGGGGCGCTGCCCAGTGTCTGACCTCTGATTGATCAGTGTGGGTCGGTTGTTTTCCACCACAGGAGTGACCTCTGAACCTTAACGTGGGAATCAGAACAGCCCTCGCCCCAAATGTTTAGAGTTTAACTTCAACTCAGCAGAATAAAAAAAAATCAGCAGAAATTTAGCAGAAAAAAACAACAGAAAAGGTCAAATATTCAACTTTAAAAAATCCAGAAAATATTGACAAAATTAAAAATAAAAATACATTAGGCCCAAAATAAAATAGTAAAAAAAATGTAATTGATGTAAAATGTAAAATAATTAATTTAGTTCCTGTAAAGATGATGAAACATTAAAACATTGGTTTAAAACAGGAACAAATGAGGCAAAAAAAAAAAAATCAAGAATCAGTGACGATGACGTTAAAAAGTCGTGAAACATTTGACCAAAAAAACAATCGTTCATTTGTGTCCAGATCAGAGAACTGAGTCTGAAGAGTTTTTCTAGAAACTGATGAAATTAAACGAGTCCACAGACGACTGGACGTCACCGTCACCAAGTACTACTGCAGTAAAAATACTACATATATGCAGTATTTTAGGTGTATTTTTACACAGTGAACAACATAAAAACACACACACAGAAACACACACTGATTGTTAGCTGCCGCTTCGTTGTCCAGCTGGTTTGGATGGAAGTGAGCGATTGTGCCCTCGGGGTCAAAGGTCAACTTCATCCCAGACGCCTGACCTCATCTGCCAAAGGTCGACCTTTGTGCGTGTGTGTCTGTGTGTGTGTTTAATAGGAGGAGAATTTTCTGTATTTTAAGGTTAAAGGCACAAATAAAATGTAACTGGAGTTTTTTTATTTTTTTATTTCACTTTTTACTGGTTGGATTATTTTGTTTACATTTTGTTTTTCTCCAGTCGATGTAAAGTTTTTTTGTTTTGTTTCTAGCTTTCAAAAATAATTAGATTTTTTTTAACGGTTACATAAAAACTGAAGTCAAGGTTAAAGTTCAACACGGACGTCGATTTAATGTGAATTAATTTCTTTGTTTCAGCCTCAGCTCGGTGTCAGTTCCTGTTTTTAGAAATAATCCTAATCTCAGTTCATCCACCTGAAGTTCAGAATATAATCCACTGAAACGTATTTGCTCCTAATTTAACCTCTGTGTTTCTGTGAAACAAAACGTAGCAGAAGCTAAATGTTAGCCACGGTGTACGGGAGGAGCAGCTAACAGAGAGCTAACTGTGGCAGGGAATTGAACCAACAACCATGACATGATCCTCCTCAACATCTGAAAAAACTGTTTTTTATGTTTTCACAGAGAACCACGGACGCTCCTGGTTCTCCTTCTGCCCCTGGTTCTCCTTCTGCCCCTGGTTCTCCTTCTGCTCCTTGTTCTCCTTCTGCGCCTGGTTCTCCTTCTGCTCCTGGTTCTCCTGCTGCTCCTGGTTCTCCGTCTGCTCCTGGTTCTCCGTCTGCTCCTGGTTCTCCTTCTGCTCCTTGTTCTCCTTCTGCTCCTGGTTCTACTTCTGCTCCTGGTTCTCCTGCTGCTCCTGGTTCTCCGTCTGCTCCTGTTTCTCCTTCTGCTCCTGGTTCTCCTTCTCATCTGCATCACTGTCATCCCTGAGGTTCAAGGACCAGGTGAGGAGTCACAGCAGGAGGACGAGGAGGAGGAGGAAGAGGAAGAGGGGGAGGATCCCTCCTCCTCCTCTTCCTCCTCCTCACCCCCTAAAAAAACATTCTGTTCCTCCTTCCTCCTCCTAATCCCTCACTGCTCTACTGCATATGTTTCCTAATCCTGTTTGTGTGTGTGTGTTCACGTGTGTGTTCACCCCCCCACCTCCTCACCCCTCCCTCCCCACCTCCTTCCTTGATGACTATAATGCTGTAAACTTCCCTCGTCCTCTCCCTCCTTTTTCCTTCTCCTTTCTCCTCCTTATCTACTCTACCAGAGTGTGGCGCTGTTCCTCATCTCCTTCTCTGTTTTCCTGTTTGTTTGTTTTTTTAACAATTAAACATAAACAAAATAACGTTTTAATGTTCATGAAACATGAAACACATCCCGTTTCATGTTAGCCAAAATGCGACAGAAGCTAAATGTTAGCCTGAATGTGGCTAAAGTAGCTAAAACTTCAACCTAAAGTTAAAATCGAAAATGTGGCAAGGCTGGCAAAGGCTAGCTTAAAAGGTAGCACAAGAATATAGAGCTGAAAATGAACAAAAAAAACCAAACAAAAAACCAACAATTTGCAAATAAAAAAAGACACTCAGTAGGTGGCAGTATAACAACTCAGAGATCGTAGAGCTGCGATTAAAATCCCAGTCAGAAAAAGAAGATCGTGTTGGGGCGGGGGGGGGGGTGGGGGGGGTCAGGACCAGCCTACAGGAGATGCTAACTGTAGCGTAAATAAAATTATTAAATATATTTTGATTTAAGGTAAATATAAACAAATATATTTATATATACATTTATGACTGTGTTTTATTTTATTTTCTCCAGCAGATTTTTACTGTTTTACTATAAACTGACAAACAGACGGGAGTAAAAAAAAAAGAAAAATAATCATTTTAAATCCTGGACCAACTTTTGGTCGTTTCCTGCTTCCTTTCTACTTTCCTTTTTTATTTATTTATTTATTTTTTCTAACCACGTCGTCTTATTTCCTCACAGGTGATTTCGTTCCCTCTCTCATTTCAGCTCTAACACTCACACTCACTCACACACACACACTCACACACACACAGATGCAGGCTCTTTGTGCGGCTCTTCCCGGCGCTCCGGCCCATTACTGAATAGAATTCCCGGAGCCTTTTGTGCAGCGCTGTAAAGGCACATGCCAAGTCAAGTTATTTCAGAGCGCTTTCAGTGGAATTACCCCCCCCCCCAAAAAAAAAATAATCTCCTTGTGCCTCCTCTCACTCAAAAAAAAAAAAGAGAAAAAAACGGAGTAAAAAGGAGTAAGAAGGAGGGCAGAGTAGAATAGAAGTGAATGATGTAGAATGGAGCCGTGGGCTCTGGACACAGTGTAAGCCTTTGGTTCCACAACGGAGCGACATGAGAATATGAGGAGATCAGAGAGGCTGCACGTTCAAGGAGGACTCCAGAGTGTGCAGGTGGATTGTGGGTAAAAGCAGGGACGGAGCGGAGAGAGCGGAGTGAAGACGTAGAAAAGTCAGATCAGACGTTTGGGATTTAACTGTCGATCAAACACAGGTTTAAAAACAGATGAAGAAAAATATTAAAGATATGAAATGACGTGTCAGAAGAAGAAGAACTTCCTGTTCAGGTTCAGAAAATATGACAAATTAAACATGAACAATTAAAATCACTACAGTACGAGATAAAACGTTCAAAGCAAATATGTTCTCTTTTTTTTTGTATTTGTCAATTTTGTTATTTCAGAGACAGGTAAAAAAAAAAAGCCACTAATTAGCTGTATTTTATTTCTTTTATTGCCCCCTCCAGTAGATGGCGCCCCAGGTGACTAGCTACACCACCAAAGCCACGTGTTGCTTCAGTCCTGCTCACTGAACGCTCTTAATGCTACAGGGTTTGTCGTCTGTCTGAGGGAACGGCCACTAGGGGGCGTCGTTAACAACAGGAAGTAAGGATCTGGTGCCTCAACCTGAGGGTTAAGGGACCTCTGGACTTCCTGCTAGATGTAGCTTTTATTTTTGACCCCACACACACACACACACACACACACTCTTACGTGTCTTTGTTAAACATGGGCACATTCATGTATCTCCACACACACACACACACGCGTGTTGGTCCACAGACCTCCGCTCCACCCTCAGATGTGTGTGTGTGTGTGTGTTCATCGATACGCCCGTGACTACATATGTATCCACGTGTGTGTGTGTGTGTGTGTGTCAGTGCCAAGTGTCATATCGATAGGTTAATAGCGGTGGTGTCAGATTCACTAACTCTCTGATTGGTTGACAGTTCACTAATCCACACACAGTCCTGAGTTATTGGCCCGGCCCATTGATTTCCAGCCGCCGGCCGAGCCGGGGGGGGAACTTAGGGGTCGTAAGAGAAGCTGCTGCTATTGATTGGCCCCGGATCAACCCCAACACACACACACACACACACACTCACACACACGTGCCGACACATCGTACCTTCAGTTTCTTTTCTGTTCCTCTGGTTCCTCTTCTCTTGTTTCCCCGTACGCCTCTTCTTTTTTTTTTTTTACCCAGAGTGCACCTGGGCGCCCACGGTGTCGTAGGCCGTCATGGCGTCCATCACTCACTCTTTTTACACAGATATATTTTTATTGTCAGGTTTATGAGTCGGCGCTCCGTTCACCTCTTCTTCTATGGTTTTACTGCTGTTCCGCAGCCATCGGTACCAGGAACTGTTGGTTCCTCACTGCTCTGAAATATCGCCCAACAGTTCCACCAGTAAAACAAAAACAAATCAAACCAATGAGAAACACTGGTGTCCGAAAACAAAATAAATAATTCATTTTTTTACGGCGGTAAAAAGTTGCTAAAGCTCGGGATATTCAAGCTACGTTAGCTAGAAGGTCGTCCAGAAGACGACGGGTTTGAAAAAAAAACAAAGCTAAAAGATAGCATTGAGAGATGGACAACAACTGGAAGAAAAAGACATAGTAAAGTCCTAAAAGCTAGCTAGCTGGAAGCTAATGTTTCCTCTTTATAAAACAAAACAAACAGTTAGCGTTAGCGTTAGCCTTTAAATGTTCGGAGGTTTCAGACGTTGACGCGTCTGACAGAGAAGAAGGAGAAGAGTTGGTCCTGTCTGGATGATGCTGCTGCTAATGCTAACGCTAATGCTGGTGGTGGTGATGCTAATGTGCGCTAATACGCTACTAACGAGTCTTTTCTCTGCAGGGAGGACGGAGACGATCAACAGTCCACTGTCATGGAGACGAGACACAGCACTCAGGTAGGGACCTCCATTTCTCCTCCTCCTGCTGCTCCTGCTGCTCCTCCTGTTTCTTTATGCTTTGGTTGCGTCACTGCTGGTCCCAGTCATGTGGTCTATAAATGTGGTCCATAAATGTGGTCTGTACTGGGTAGTTTTTGGTTTTGGTTTTTTTTAAGGCCCAGGTCGTGACCTTAATTTGGTTTGGAATTTTCTAGAAGGCGACCCTCATCGGGTCAGACCCGTTTACTAGAACCATGTGTAGACTATGGGCAGGATGACATTTCTGGGATCCAGAATCTGGGCCACGTACCATGTGGGCTGAGTTTCCAACAGAAGGTTAAATTCGTTTTGTTTTTTTTTTGTTTTTTTTAAGCCCACCACCGGGTGGCAGGATGTTGATGAAGAGTTGATTGAATTATTTTGACCTGTTTTACAAACGGTGTGTGTGTGGCCCCCTGCTGGACGCTGCCCACATCCTGGACCGTCTGTCTCTGTCCAGACCTCCTCTTCCTCCGTCACTGCCCCGCCTCCGTGTGAACATGTGGTTGTTGTCGGTGGTGGTGGTGGTGGTGGTGGGGGGTCC